TTTGCAGAGCACCTTCTGAAACATTTGCTTTGAAGCTGGTGTTTTATGGTTGCAAGTGGCTTGAAAGAGAAATTAACTCGAGCTGTAATCTTGCCCAATGGCGTCACTTCTCTCTGCCTCTTTTGTCGGATCCTCCAGTTCACAATGCACCACTCAGACATTGATTACACTGCAAAGACTATTCTCACTGTGAGCAAGAGCAACTAGATAAAAAAACACTGTGGATCCAGCTCCAGCTGTTTCGAGCATACACGAGTTTTAAAGATAATTTCAAAAGTTCTTCCATAGAGACATTGCAATTTACAGTGCAGAAAGAAGACACTTAACATTGCTCAGAAGATGAACTGCCAATTGTTTGCAGAGACCTTTCCGAATCATTTGCTACGGATATTTTCGACCACTAAATATACAGACAATTCACTTTACAGTATATTCTGTTAAGCGCTTTGAGATGTCTCGAAAATGTGATATATCAAATGCAAGGATTATTATTATTTATTTGGCCCATCATGTGTTTCCTGGCTCTCTGAAATATTAACCCAATCAGTCCCATTCTCCTGTCTTTTCCCACACCCTCTTATGATTCCCTCTTCAGCTTTTTATCTAATTCCCTCTTAAAAGTTAATATGGAGTCTGCTTCAACCACATCCGATACTGTAGCTCCTTTGCTTTGTAATCTAGGCCCCGATATAAAAGCCAGGATTCTAGTTCTCTTTTAAAGCGTTATCAACTTGCCTCCTCACCGTTAAAGAATTGTGTATAATAATAATAACAATATTATTAATAATAATATATAAATTATTTCTGCGTGAATCAGACTCTAGATACTGCCTTGCATGGAGGGCGCTATATAAGTTCAAATTGCTGTTCATAGAATCATAGAATTATACAGCACAGAAGGAGGCCATGCAGCCCATCGCGTCTGCACTGGCATTTTGAAAAGAGCTATCCAAATCAATCCCACTCCCCCATTCTCTCCCCATAGCCCTGCAAACTTGTCCTCCCCTTGTTTTGTTTCCTCTCTTAATAATAATAATAATCCTTGCATTTGATATTGCGCTTTTCACGTCGGGAGGACGTCCCAAAGCGCTTCACAGAACACACTGTAAGGTGAATTGACTGTATATTTGTGGGCGAACGTGGCAGCCAATTGCGCACAGCAATGTCCCACAAACAGTCGTAGATTGAAAATGACCAATTTATTATTGTTTTTGGTTTTGGAGGGATTATTATTAGGCGTGTGGAGTAAGGAAACTTGCCCAAGGTTTCGCCCTGTCTGGAATTGAACTCAGGTCTCTCGCTTGCAAAGCGAGTGCTCTAACCACTGAGCTACAGGACTCTTATGGTTATAGTGCCCATTGTTATAACTTTCTATGCTGCTGAAGGTGACCGATTCTGTGTGGGCTCACATTCTGAGTCATCTTTTACTCAGATTTTTACATAAAAAAACAAATCCCTACACAAGTCTGCCTTCTTGGTCAGTGTGTATGTGTGTGTTTGTGGGTGTGTGCGCGCGGGGCGGTGGTAGGGGGTTGGTATGTGCTGTTCAGATATCCTTTAGAGGCACAACAACTTTCAATAATACACCCTGCAGTGCAAATTCACATCTATACAGTACTTTTCACATCAGAAGGATGTCCCAAACTGCTTCACTCTGCTGGCTGGGCATCTGCCCTGGGCGCTGATGGTGGGTTGGGAGGGGAAAGATGGCCAAAAGGGCAGTCATGGTACATCTTAAGGGCTTCACATGGGAAAACGTCTCAGAGTTCTTCACAAAGATGGGGTTGGATGCAGAACTTGCGAGAAGGCAGAGGGATAGGCGATAATAGGTGCAATCGAAAGGTAGGTTTTTAGACAGATTTAATAATAGATGGGGGGGCGAGGCAGAGAGATAGAGGGAGGGAGTTCTGGAAATTAGGGGTATCATAGCTGGATGCTCAGAGGGTCTCGTCGCCCTGTGTGACGTACAGAGGAATCCTGAAGAAACACTGAAACACTGGCGGCCACACAATGGTTACACTGCCAGAGCAGTCTTCAGGCACTCTCTAAATCCGAACAGTTAGAGATTAATGTTCATTTTTAAATGTGAGATGCCTTTTCTCTACTCTACAGATCTGTGAACATTCCCTGGATTCTATCACACTGCTCTGTAGACTAGCGAGTCTGTAATCACTCACTAATATCCATCACTACTCTACAATTGACTGGTCTGTGATCACTCAATGGAGTCTAGCACACTATATAGTTGGGTGGTCTCTGACCACTCACTGGAATCTATTACAACTCTATCGTTAAGTGGTCTGTGTTCATTCACTGGAGTCTATCACAATTCTCTGTAGTTGAGTGGCCTGTGAACATTCACTGGAACATTGGCAGATGGTTGAAAGGCGCTATATAAATGCAATTTTTGCTGTATTGTCTGAAGATGGGGTGGGACAGGGGATGCGCAACAGATCTCTCTGTGTGGGATCATCAGTGAAGAAACTGGTTGTAATATAAAGGGTGGGAAAGCCTCCAATAAAATCAGAATTTAAAGGTACCATTTTTATTTCTTATTAGGATTGAAGCAACGCCGCACAGCAGTAAATCCAGTTTGAAGAGCTACAATATTGCTGGTCCTTACGATGAGTGACTCAACTAAAATCTCTTGCTTCCTGCTCTCTGCGTGCAGTAATAGGCATTTAACAACAGCTGTGACAAACACGGCGCACCTGGATTCCTTCCGTAGTGTTGACAAGTATTGTTAAAGGCCTCAGATAATGTTGAACAATCAGATATAAGCCCGGACTGTTTCGTCTATAAAACTAGTGTGATTGGTACAACACTTAGCAACGGGGTTCAATTAATTTAAGGGGCCAATAAATATATCACCCAAAGTCCAAAGAAGAAAACAACTGTGGCAACATCTAGGTCAATGAGAATTATCAACTCTCACTAATTAATAAATATTTGAGTGAAATGGAACTGGAGATTAAATTCAGACGCACGTGATTGTGTAACAAACACTTAAGTGGGTCATTTTTAAAATAGTTTAGTTTGTCAATTTTAATGTCCCGAAAATGGGTCCTCAAATTCTTACAGCGGGACAGTGAAGTGAACAGTAATCAGAGGGATGAGCTCCAAGGAACAGCAAGATAACCTGTGCTCTTCAGCCCTGGAAAAACAAGGTCTCAAGGCCACCTTATGGACGTGGGCAAGATATTGTATGGTATAATGGAAGCAAATTCAGATTGTCGGCAGGACAAAGAAGACAAGGGGTTGTGAACAGAAATTCAGGACAGAGGCCAATCAACATCTGGAAGGGGTTAACAGGAAAGGCAGGAGAAGCCAAATCATGGGGGATTTCAATTACAACAACAGGATTACATTTGTGTAGGCCTTTCACGTCGGGAGGACGTCCCAAGGTGCTGGACAGAGTACAGCATTTCAGACCCGAGCTGGGGTCAGAAGGGGGAAAGGGAAGGGAGGTGGCTGATGGCATGGTCGAAGAGGAGGCTTGCTGAAATTAATAGACTTTATTCTTGTTAAGAATTCACCTTTATTGCCTTGTTTCCATGGGAGGAAAACCATTGAAAATCGAGTCCAGGAGCCAACCCTGCCAATATAGTTAAGGTATTTTACATGTGTTTAGAAGTTAGAAAAGTCAGAAGAAGCAATTGATAAGAAGCCGCTCAATGGTGTGATGGGAAGAACGCAAATTGGTTCTTCTGGAAGCATGAGGTTAAAGGGGAATCCGTATTCCTGTGTTACGATGCAGTACTGCGCTTTTGCCAATAGAGACCGCCTATAAACTGTGCAAGAACAGAACTCTGACAGCAGAAAGCAGGTCCCCTCCGTCTTACTGTTTATTCAACACATCTCCAGATTGTGTGACCCAGACATCCAAATAGCAAATTATAAACCTCAAGCCTGTGGCATTTCCTTCCCTCTTCCCTATTTACATGTTCTGAAACTACATTTTTTACCCTGCTATTTATACAAATATTGGCTTGTTAATCTGTGTGGTAAGCTCATTTGACCTTTATCTTCCTTCACCAGCCTTTCCTCACAAGGACAGGTTTGTGGACAGCAACATCTTGAAAGCAGCCATGAACTGAATAACCAATTTTTTTTCTCTGGGAGCTTGTTGACCTAAACATCAGGAGGAACTCCCTATTGATTGTAAGAGAATAAGGCTGCGTTAAATGTGGCACCATGTTCTGTCACCCTTAAATCCAGCACAGCTGTTGCCCAGCCCTTTCAGCACCATCTAGCACTTAAGTCCTGCTTGTCCTACACCCCGACTCTTCCTTACACAAGTTGGCTGGCTACCTCAGAGACGAGTGTGCTACTGACTGAGCCTGGTTGACACGTCTTTCTTAATTACAAGCAACCTGGTTCTGTGGAGCGCCTGATGCGTTCCTTCATGTGAAAGATGCCGTATAATAGCGTGTTGTGAACAAATCCATTCACCCTTCATCCTTTCTCAAGAAAAGCACAACAAACATCCTGCTGGGGGATGCAGCCCAGAGGCAAGACAACAAATTACCGTGGTGGCATGATGGCAACCAGTGACTGTTTCGAAACACATGTATATGTTGTGAGTGTGATGTTGTCACATAAGGGTGGGGCTCAGAGGAAACACCCAGATATTCTCCGAGCCTATGGCTGAGCTAACTAGGGAGCACAGGGAAAGAGTAATTTGGTAAAACTGGTGCATTGCTGTGATGCCTGAATTGCCTCGGTTGAGATGAGCTATTTCGGCTGAAAATCAGCAGAACCTATCGAGGATGTGTCTGCCGGGGGCCGAAGGTCAATCAGTGCCTGTGCTCAAACCTGGGACTATGTCAGCGTGAGCTTCTCCCACCTCCATCGCCCAAGATGATGAAGCACCTGAGGAGTATGGCACTAATATGTTGCAGGAAAGTGGCTTCAGATGCATGGGCAACATTTCTGGATTTTAGGGGCGAAACGATAAGAAAGGGAAAGAGCAACAAAAGAGGAAAATATCTTTTTTTTACCTGTTCTTCGGTCTGGAACTCTGGATTGTATTGTGCCATTTCCTCCGTCAGTGGCTGCTGAACTAAACTCCTGCAGACGAGCCAAGTAGCCAAGCCAGCGAAAAACATCCCCACATCAGGAATAAAAAGCCTAATGATATTCCCAGCATCTGCTTCACTGACACTGTGAAGTGAAAAGAAAAAGGAAGCATTGTAAGGCTGTGTAAAGGTCACTCTTTTTAAACCACATTAAACCATTTCTTTTTATTTACCTGTGCTTGTAATTCACACATAGAATTATTGCGAGTTTAATATTTCCAACAGCTCTAATGCCAGATAAGCACTAATAATTAGAATATTATGTATTTGATACAGAGCCTTATCACGTCTCGAAATACTTCACAGGATTTGCTGTAAGGTGTAGTGACTATAATTTGTAGGCAAACACGACAGCAGCCAATTTGGGTGCACAGCAATGCCTCACAAAAATAAGTGAAGTGAGTGACCAATATCTGGGAGATTGAAGGCCACTTGGCATGAACAAGTGCTGCACAATTTATTTCTATGTTAGAAGGATTCATCTCTCTCTTCTCCCATTATGATGCACTCACCCTTGACTCACCCTCTCATTAACGTGACAGTATCACGGGAAACAGAGTGAACTATTCGTCCCATTGAGCCAGTTTTGTCAGTTTATTGAATAATCGCAGGTCTTTTCACTCTTATTTTCACACCTGATAGGAACATAGGAAAAGGTGTAGACCATTCAGCCCCTCGAGCCTGTGCTGCCATTCTGTTAGATCATGGCTGATCAGACCTCTTATTTTCTTTTTTTCCAATCTCACTTGAAACTTCACATCCCAATTGTCTCTGTGTGTGAAGCTTTGAGGGCAGAACTTTCTACATTCTCACAACCCGTGTGGAGAAATGTTTTCCGATCTCACTTCAGAGACTTTGGCTCCAATGATGTCTGCTCAACCAGGTGTTTTGCCAGCAGTCACAGAGCGATCACACAGAAGAGACTCTGGGGAGAATCAGCGATTGATTGCACAGCAATCACAAAAATAGTGGGATGGGGGGGGGTCACACAATGGAGACATAGTGAGACTCAGCAGCCACACTACGGTCATGCAATTAGTACAGTAAAACTCACACACGTCAAATCAGTTGGAAACAAAACATTAAGTCGTATAAAATCCGATCTAATTTATACAATTCAATGCAGCTCGTAACATGCGTTGACGGGTCGGGATGTCATTTTCTACGATTCAATGCAGCCGGTAAGTTCGGGAGTAATGCAGGATAGAGGATTGTCGTTACAAGTTAGGAGATGATTAATACGACTAGTCCAAGGAAATCTAAGTGGTTTTGATAGGAAACTGAATGGAAGTTGGGTGCATGTACCACTTAGGTGATTGTACAATTTATAAAGATAAGATTTATGTGAGTTTTACTGTATTATATATCATAGTAACAACAACAGAAGTTGGTGTAAAAATTCAGCAGGTTAGGCAGCATCTATGGAGAGAGGAAAGTAAGTCAATGTTTCACGTCTACGACCCTTCATCAGAACTGGGGTCAGAACCTGAAATGTTGACTCACTTTCTTTTCTCCATAGATGCTGCCTGACCTGTTGAGTGTTCCCAGCAACTTCTGGTTTTGTTTCAGATTTCCAGCATCTGCAGTATTTTGCGTTTAGTTTATACATCATAGTAATACTGGTGTTAAGTTAGTACTTTACATAAAATCGATACTGCATGAAAGTTAATACTCTATTTTACAGTGGCATGAAGTGGAAAAGAAAACATGTTCTGATGCGCTCCACTCAATAGTTAATACATTTAAAGCTTGCTGATGTATCCAGAAACCTGTACAGCTATTGAAAGAGTCAACAGCAAACTGCTGCCAGACTATTTTTTTAGATACAGAAAGATCAGATGCAATTTAACAGCACTAATAAAGACTACAATCTTTATTTGACTGAAACAATAAACTAAACAAAGTCAAGCCCACCACTGGATAAACATGAATGAAGTCTTTTTTCCAATGATAATTTCCTTTAACTATACTCCATAAGCATAAAACGTAAAACAAAGCTTCTGGTAATTCCTGTTAATAAAGCTCGTAAATACTGAAGTCACCTTTTACGACCAACATTTACTGATACACTAATGCATGTTTTGAAGAGAAGAGTCACAGAGCCAGGCCATCTTCTTTGGAGGTAAATTTTTTATGAGATGCAACAGATTGGTTGTTATAATATTCTTTATATTTGATATTGCACCTCAAACATTAAAGCCCCTCACAGAAGGTGTTTCACAAATAATTGCTATCAGGTGTAGTGGCGATATGTTTTGGAGGCGAACATGGTAGTCCCTTTGTGCACATCAATCTCTCACAACCATCCATGAGGCAAATGACCAATTCATTGGAGCACTGTTGGCCAACAAACTGGGAGAAACTCACTCTTTTGGAATAGCATCAAGAAATCTTTAATGATAGTTTACACACCTATTTCCTATGGACAACATAATTGACAAAATATTTTACGAGTCAGAAAGATATGAAATTGCACTTCATAAACCTGACCTTTGCTTTCTTGTCCTTCTCATTTGCCCTATCTGAGAATAATGTTCTGGATTTACTTTCTCAATCCCATTTAAAACCGACTGCTATAAGGATCCCCATCTTTTCAAGCCTCTGGAATGCCAGTTTATCAAATCGTTCCCCACAGTTCATCCCTCTATCCCTGAGAATCCCCCTTTGTGATCCACATTTCTCTCCTCTGCTCCGGCCTGGGCAGCAACAGATCAAAGATTGAACCTGGGACCTTCTTGATCCGCTTGACTCTGCGCCATCACATGCCAGTTCAGTCCATTTACTCACAGAGTCATCACACAAACCACCGACTCCTATGTCAACATCACAATTTGTAGCAGGCTGAATCCTGCCTTCTGTGAAGTAAATCACTGCATAAACGCTTTATTTCAACATCAGAGTCCTCAGGGTGTTCAATAATGTGCATGCTTCAGAGCGGCTCACATTAATAACACTGAAATATAGTTTTAAATTATTTGCAGGTGGAAGGCGGAAATCAAAAGTACCACTCTCTGGTAGTGCAATGGCAAAGCAGGATTGCCCTTTCCTGAACCTCTCAGTTAGAGACAAATAAAACCCACAAGCCTGGCTTTGCGGGTCCGCCTTTCAGAGGAATAAGACGGGACTAGAAAGAAATATAAACATCACCATCTGTTTTGGTAAAGAAAATGCCCTGGAGGGGTAAAGCTGTGGTCCATGCAAAAAAATTGTACCTCAAAAATGCATTTTTCTTTTTCAAAATATATTTTTTGGGCGAATTTTAATAAGGCGGAAAATAACTCAATACTTTCCCCTTTGGATGCTTGGTGTCAGCATCCAGACCGGACTTACTATGGGTTGGAGACATAGTAAAGTTCTTGCTCCGCCCACCCCCCATACTCCCGCGCCCCCCACCACACCTCCCCACCCCTTCGTATACCTTTCGAATTCTAGCTTCCAAGTAACCTCCGCTATTATCAGCTGGCTTTATCATAATCATCCTTGCATTTGATATTGAGCCTTATCACATCGTTGAGATGTCTCAAAGCGCTTTACAGGATACACTGTAAAGTGGAGTGACTGTGTATTTTGTGGCAAAATGTGGCAGCCAATTGCACACAGCAATGGATTGAGTGACCAAATTATTATTTTTGGGGGGCGGGATTATTAACCGCGGTAAGCCATCAGCCAATCGACTAAAAACCGGGTTCCTACTTACTGCTAAGCAAACAGAGGCTTGTGAAGCAAGGAAACTTGCTTAAGGTTTCGTCCTTGCGAGGCGAGCGCATTAACCACTAAGCTACAGGACTCCATGTCTTGGGGGGATATTTATATTTATATCTTCTCTTTTTCCAACCTACAAACCAAAGCTCGAACAGTAAATTCAAGCTGGACAAGCAGCAACGCTTGCCACAGTACTCACAATAGCACGAATCCTACTGCTTTAGCTGGTTACACTGCAGCAATACCCCAAAACATACTCTAGGGTCCCCAAACCTTGGCTTTTTCTAACCTGAGCATAATACTCTCCGGAATTAGGTAACTCTCTCCAAGGCATAAACTAGTTGGGCCGAATGATCGATCTCAGTGCTGCAACCTTCTATGTAATTCTGTGTGAAAACATAAGACACAGTCACTACACTCAACAGGAATTACTGCAAAGCGTGCACCAATATTTCGATGCGCTCTAAAAATTCAGAATCGGTTCTTCTGTTTGAATCTGGTCTTATTTCAAGTCCTCTGGTCATAACATAAATAGTGGATATTTAATGTAACTTGTGGGAACTGGTTCGCTTTCCTGGCCTTGAGAGCATGTCGTCCTGAGAGATTCTGAATCAACAACAACAACAACAACAACTTGGATTTATATAGCACCCTCCACGCCGGACGGTGTCTCAGAGCGCTTTACAGTAACGGGTCCCGGGGCCGAGCCAGGGGGAGGGGGAGGAAAGTGACCAAAGGCGCGGTCGAAGAGAAAGGTCTTCAGCAGGGACCTGAAAATAGGAAGGGAGGGAGTGAGGCGAAGGGAGTGAGGAAGGGAATTCCAGAGCCTCGGTGCATAGTGGCTGAAGGCACGGCCGCCCAGGGTGAGGTGGAGGACTCGGGGGACGAGGAGGAGGCCAGACCCGGAGGAACGAAGGCAATGGGTACTGTTTTGAGGAGAGAGGAGGTCAGAGAGGGAGGGGGGGGTGCAGAGGAGTGGAGGGATTTGAATACAAGGGTGAGGATCTTGAAATCAATCCTCTCTGGGATAGGGAGCCAGTGCAGTCTGGCAAGGACTGGGGAGATCGAGGAGCGGAGTTTGGTGCGGGTGAGAATGCGGGCAGCAGAGTTTTGAATGATCTGGATTTTATGGATGGTAGTGGATGGGAGACCGGCGAGGAGGGCGTTAGAATAGTCCAGCCGAGAGGTGACAAAGGGACTCCCACGAAAGGAACCTGGCTTAAAGATCCGATTTTGGACATAATGAATACTATTTGAATGTGAACTAAGTTTTCAATCCCGCTGTGTGCTGGGGATGATTCAAGAGGCCTGCTGATTTGGACCGGGCATCTGGATCGCTCACAAGCAATGAAATGATTTTGGATGGGTGTGTTAAGCCTATTG